ACATAAACCTTTCCTTCTCTAATTTTGAGTGTCAGATATTTGTCCCAGCAATGAGAGAAGAGTAACAGAGACGAGTATGGAGCAGGGAAACTTCCTTCTTTCCCTTTTCACTCCTTCCCTGCTACAAGCCTACTGCATGGCAACACCCCCCTTTCAGTGAACCTGTCATCCACACCAGAACTATGTTAAGCCATTTTACAGACTGACCGAGTGTCACATACCTGTGATCCAGTCACCACCCAGAGCCCACGTTTCTGTGTGTGCGTCTGCGTGTGTGCATCAATGCATGCATGTGCTTTGTGTGTGTGTATGTGTATATGTATGTGTGTGTGCATCAACACATGCATGTGCTGAAAGTTAAGATCAACGAGAGAGAAGATATTTTATTATCGGTGTGAAGATCTCTTTAGCCCTACCTATGAGCACAGTAGACCTCAGGGCCTGTCAGTGTAAACTAGAACACTCTATGTATGTGGTCTTCTGTGTCACTTTTGTCTACCAGACCTGATGCTTTCTTCTCACATTGGTTGCTTCTGCAGCTCAAATAGTCCATAGAATTCTTTATCCTTGGAATTCCTTTTTGGTAGATTCCATTTTCTTGGTAAACGTGTTTTGAGTGACAAAGTTGGCTCTTCTAGTGTTTTACCTGACTCTTCTTTAAATACATTGATCAATTTGTTAATTACTTCCACTGTTTCATTGTATGATATTTGAGCTCCTTACATTTCTTTGCTTTCTGTTTGATCATTAAGCTATTTGGTTGTTGATTTTCGTTTTTTCTTTTTTCTTTCTTTTTTTTTTTTTTTGGTGGTACTGGGGATTGAACTCAGGACCTTATGCTTACCAGGCAAGTGATTATTCTATTGAGCTATCTCCCTGGCCCGGGTTATTGATTTTCTCCCTATTGGTGTCCCTTGGAGCTACCTGCTGGGGAGTTGGGAATTTGAGGATGCATTTTGCTGCCTTGTTTTTATATGTTTCTGTGTGTGTGTGTGTGTGTGTGTGTGTGTGTGTGTGTATGCGTGTGTGCATCAAGTCATGCATGTGCTGCAAGTTAAGGTGAAATAGAATGAAGATATTTCATTATCAACCTGAAGATCTCTTGAGTTAGGTTCTGCTTTCCAGTGATGCGATCTTGGTCTTATTTATCAAGAAATACTATCTACCACTGCAATCTATTCAGCTTAATTCAGTGGGGCAGTCACTGTGCTTTCTCTTTCAATGATCAAAGAGAATCTCTATATGTTCCAGCAGTATCCACACATCTGGTCGTACGTGAATCATGCACAGCCCAACTTGGTTTGAGCCTTTCACCCCCTTATCGGTGGCCCTTACAGACTATACTGCTGTGTGTAGTTGCTCTCAAGTGCAGAGGAGGAGGAAGGAAAGAGGAAGGAGAGAAGGAAGGGCAAGTCAGTAAGAGGAGAGGTAGGTAAGAGAAGTGTAGATAGGGGAAAAAAAAATAGACGGTTGGCTTCTAGTCAGAATACAACTCCAGCATAGAACTAAATAGCTACAACTATTTTTATAGTTGGAGTAAAGGGCAGGTGTTGAGGGGGCTTGAGAGAATATTTGTGGAGGGAATGCAGAGGGATGGAAGTATAGCTAAAGAATGAAGGATGCTTTCAGATTGTCTGAACCCATTAGTGCCTTTCAGTTACTTTCATTTGGGCCTTCTAGCCACAATCTGTTAGAGTCACTGTGACACGTCCTTGAATGGTATCACTTAAGTTATAGCACTGGTCAAATCTCATTCTGTTTTGCACCTGTTATATACATGTTATATGAGTGCTGTAGAGGAGCCGAGGGAAGACTAGGAGGCAAGAGAACAAGGAAGAGAGGAGAAAAAAGATTAGGGAGGAAAGAATGTCAAGAGATAAAAGAGAGAGAGAAAAAAAGACCAAAAGGAGAGAACAGGATAAAGAGAAAATCCTTGAAAAATAAAGTAAAATAAAAAAATACACAAAGAAGAAACACAATACAGCCCCCTGCTCCCCCCAAACTCCAGAGCAAATAAGGAAATGAAATAACCTTCAGCTGGCTGCCTTAGCAATGACCCGGAGGGGCTGCACAGCCATCTTTACGCAGCAGTTGTGGTCTGTGAGGAGCCAAGCGTTTTCACCCTGGGCCACACAGTTGCCTGCCCAAAGTAGTGAGGGTGCTGATCTCTCCAGAACTGGCTCCTGGCTTCAAGTGATGCTCTGGGTGTGGCCAACCGCAGGCCCCTGTCACCCAAGGTCCGACTGCCTTCATTCACTTGGGAAGAAGCGGTGCCTTCATTCACCTGGCTATCTCAGAGATGTGGAAAGGGTTGTCCTGGACATGGCAGCGCCCCATAGGATGCTGGACAGTGGGCGGGACCTCCAGCCATCTGCTCTGTTCTGACTCCCCTCACCAAACATCCCTTAGGCCTGGAATTTGTGCAGCAAGTTTCTTTTCATTTACCCTCATGCATCAGACCTTATTTTTAGTTCCTGCCTCAGGGTACTTGACTTGGAGACTCTTGCCCTTGCTGTTGTCCCCCAGGGGGTCATGATTTTTCCTGTTTTCCATTGCTGTAGTTAATTTTTTCCTAGGTCACTGTTACGGTTTGTGTCCAGTTGTCCCCCTAAAGCCTCATGTAGGTCATGGGGCAGATGCAGCTGGAGGAGCTGCTAGTGGCTTCAAGGGTGGGGCTAGACGACCAGGGTGGAGCATGAGGGGTGGGGCTAGAGACCATGGTGGAGCGTGAGGGGCGGGGCTAGAGACCAGGGTGGAGCGTGAGGGGCGGGGCTAGAGACCAGGGTGGAGCGTGAGGGGCGGGGCTAGAGACCAGGGTGGAGCGTGAAGGGGCGGGGCTAGAGACCAGGGTGGTGCGTGAGGGGCAGGGCCAGAGAGACCATCAAACTGGCAATCTCAGAGATGTGGAAAGGGTTGTCCTGGACATGGCAGCGCCCCAGCCTCTCCTCCAGTTCTTGAAACATCCAGTAACTGTGAGCTAAATAAACCCTTCCTTCCCTCATTTTAAGTGTCGGGTATTTGTCCCAGCAATGAGAGAAGAGTAACTAATACAGTCACCTATAGTTTTATTGATATTGTAAACCTTATTTTGTGTTACATTTTCTAATATATATTTTTTGATGTAAAGCAATACTCGTGATTTTTTTTTATATTAAATCTATCCATTTGGTTGAAGTTTTCTTTAGTGTTAACAGCTTGCTGAATCTCTTGGATTTGCTATAAAGACATCTGCTATGGCATAAGGACATTTTTGTCTCTTCCTTTTCCAGCTTTGTGGCTGTCCATTACAGCAGTGCCGCGGCTCCTGAACTTAATTTGTTTCACGACTACGTGAAAGATGGCTATGGTTGCGTTTGGCGCTGTGATATACAATTCACAAAGAAAAACAACTCTGCTAAATGTTTCTGTTTGTGAACCAATTTGTTCCCAAACAAAAGCATCCATGCACCAAAGTACCATTGTATTCTTTTTCTTCTCCTTTTTTTTTTTTTTTTTTTTTTTTT